TTACATCCCGCCCTGAATGTAAGCCAGGGCGGGATCAGCCAGCGGCAGCTTCCCACATGCACGATTCATTTGCAGTCTGGACATGGAGGGGTGAACATCTCCTGCTCTGACTGCAGCTGGAAGGGACTGCTGCGCGAGGACTGGGCCGCCTGTGAGTGCTTTGGGACGGGGTTGGCCTGTGAATGCTTTGGGACGGGGGTGGGCTGTGAGTGCTTTGGGACGGGGGTGGGGCCCACGGCAGCACCCGGTGCTCGTTGAGAAGAGTAAGAACGATACGTGCTTTCACGTCTGAGTCTCCAAAAGTCTCCAATAACACCAGAAAAAGTCGCTAGATTTGTCGTTAGTCGCTTTTTTGAAAATGTGTCGCTAGAGGGGTCTGAAAACTCGCTAAATATAGCGACAAAGTTGCTAAGTTGGCAACACTGGAGTATGTTCCGGGACTCATCCGATGGCATTGAGGAGTACAGTGTCTTTCGAAAGTATTCACCCCCCTTGGCATTTTTCCTATTTTGTTGCCTTACAACCTGTAATTAAAATTGATTTTGGGGGGGTTGTATCCTTTGATTTACACAACATGTAACAAACAAGAAAAAAGACAAAAAAACTGAAAACTTGACGCTTAGATTGCACACAGGTGGACTTTATTTAACTAATTATGTGACTTCTGAAGGTAATTGGTTGCACCAGATCATATTTAGGGGCTTCATAGCAAAGGGGGTGAATACACACCACTTTTCCGTTATTTATTTTTTGAATTTTTTGAAACAAGTTATTTTTTTCATTTCACTATTTTGTGTATGTCCATTACATGAAATCCAAATAAAAATCAATTTAAATTACAGCTTGTAATGCAACAAAATAGGCAAAACGCCAAGGGGGATGAATACTTTTGCAAGGCACTGTATACAACATCAGTCACCGGCTTCATCAATAAGTGCATCGATTACATTGTCTGACCAACTGGCAAGTGTCTTCACTGACATTTTCAACCTGTCCCTGGCTGAGTCTGTAATACCTACATGTTTCAAACAGACCACCATAGTCCCTGTGCCCAAGAACATCAAGGTAACCTGCCTAAATGACTACCGACCCGTAGCACTCACGTCTGTAGCCATGAAGTACTTTGAAAGGCTGGTCATGGCTCACAGCAACACCATCATCCCAGAAACCCTAGACCCAGTCGAATTTGCATACCGCCCCAACAGATCCACAGATTACGCAATCTCTATTGCACTAAACACTGCCCTTTCCCACCTGGACAAAAGGAACACCTAAGTGAGAATGCTACAGCTCAGCATTCAACACCATAGTGCCTTCAAAGCTCATCACTAAGCTAAGGACCCTGGAACTAAACACCTCCCTCTGCAACTGGATCCTGGACTTCCTAACGGGCCGCCCCCAGGTGGTAAGGATAGGCAACAACACATCTGCTACGCTGATCCTCAACACGGGGGCCCCTCAGGGGTGCGTGCTTAGTCCCCTCCTGTACTCCCTGTTCACCCATGACTGCCTGGCCAAGCACAACTCCAACACCATCATTAAGTTTGCAGATGACACAACGGTGGTAGGCCTGATCACCGACAACGATGAGACAGCCTATAGGGAGGAGGTCAGAGACCTGGCAGTGTGGTGCCAGGACACAACCTCTCCCTCAACGTGATCAAGACAAAGGAGATGATCGTGGACTAAAGGAAAAGGAGGGCCGAGCACGCCCCCATTCTCATCGACGGGCTGTAGTGGAGCAGGTTGAGAGCTTCAAGTTCCTTGGTGTCCACATCACTAACAAACTATCATGGTCCAAACACACCAAAGATTTGGCGTGTGTCCTCAGATCGTCAAAAAGTTATTCAGCTGCACCATCAAGAGCATCCTGACTGGTTGCATCACCGCCTGGTATGGCAACTGCTTGGCTTCCAATCACAATGCGCTACAGAGGGTAGTGCGTACGGCCCAGTACATCACTGGGGCCAAGCTTCCTGCCATCCAGGACCTCTATACCAGGCGTTGTCAGAGGAAGGCCCTAAAATTTGCCAAAGACTCCAGTCACCCTAGTTATAGACAGTTCTCTCTGCTACCGCACTGCAAGCGGTACCGGAGCGCCAAGTCTAGGTCCAAAAGGCTTCTTAACAGCTTCTACCCCCAAGCCATAAGACTGCTGAACAGCTAATCAAATGTTTCAAACGTTGAGTTGACTGTAGATGAGAGAGCACTACTGACACCTGCTGGACACAGTAGGAACTAGCGATGCCTGATGTGTACCTATGTCTTCGTGAACAACAACACTCACAGCAGCTTTCTTCACAGGCTTGGCTCTTTCGGCATTCCTGCTGGCTGTCTCCAGCTCCACCAGTTTACCAATCATTCTGTACAGCATCTCTTAGAACACACACACACACACAGACTGGGCTCACAGATCACACTTATCAACAGTGATAAATATAATACTTAATTAACTACTTTAAAATCACTAAAATGTGTTAAGAGTTTCCTGTACAGTTTGTGATCTCTATGACTCATCAACAGCTGAGGGGGTTGAGGTTTTTCCTCATGACCTAATGGAAATTACAGTATGTCCTTATGCAAACTGTGAGCACATTCAGTTACAACACCAATGCCGTGTTGTTGTTCACCAATAACTGAGCTGCTACGACAAAGGCTTGGAGTTTTTCCTGGCCAGGTCATGTAGACAGGAAAACTCCTAGCCTTGGTAATTACAGATGATGTCTGACCTTCTCAGCCTCCTGGTACCGAGAATCCAGATCCAGCCCCAGGCCCAGAGTGCTCAAATTGTTCTCAGCAACCTTCATATCACTGCAGGTGAGTCCTAGCTACAGAATATGATGTGATATTACATGCATCTTTAACTGTTACTCAGCACAAGTAAAAGTATCAGAGAAATGTATACCAAAATATCTTGCATGTGTTGAGACATACAAAGTTAGCAGAATATCTTGCAGATTCAAAATACGTATGGAATGCTTTAGTAAATCTGAAATTATAAGAGTGTTGCTGGTTGCTTTTATAAGCCTGTATTTATCAATACATTTATCAACAGTCAGTCAATACAGATGGATTTCTTGTTTTGTATTGTTTACCCAAAATGTTTTAGGGCATATATCTGTATTGCCTGGAATACGCAACTGCGCGCATCCCTATCCAATTCCGAAGTGCATATTGAAGATCTTGGAAAAACTGTCCACATTTACTTTTCGTCAGCCAACAAGATTAGTATGCCTAATGAACAGCAAAAGCACTAGCCTATGTCAATCTACTATCCCCCATAGTACAAAAGTTAACCTATTCTATTCTGTGCAATATATAAATATTCCAAACATAGTCCGGGACAGTTGTGGGATGCGATAGATCCCAAATTAATACAACCACTAGCATCAAAACATTTTTTTACGCAACAGATCAGAACTTTAGCTTAAAATGTTTTGATAAACTATTTGGCTATTCTTCACATTATAAGCGCAGCAATGTGCACATGGTAGTAGGCTATAAGCGCAAATGTTCCATTAGCGGGAAAACACCATTATCAAAAGTGACCGCAAATGTGATTATGCATGTTTGCTTTTATTATAAAGGTGCATTTTTATAGTGAAAAATATCTTCCCCAAACTTGAAACTCACGCGATGCTTATGTATGCCAATTAGGCTCTACACCCCTTGTAAAGCGGATTAATATGCTTAATTTTAAGAAGTTATTTGACCACTTCAGTTGTGATACAAACCTTATCAAAACATATAGGCCTATGGGCTAGGCTACGTGAGGTGTGCGACTATGATTAGAAAAAGGCATTGTTTCTTGCCTTACGCTGGGCATTATTCACAAGTGATAATATATCATTCACAAGTGATAGGCTAATATTGTCACCCATCAGACTATTCTTGATTTAATCTTCTTTACATATACTAAATAATATATGTGTGAAATTCGTTTTGATTTAGAATGGACCATTATCATGCATCTGTCTCTAAACAGGGGGGAAAATACATGTAATCTCTGCACTTAAATAGCGAATGGAGGACACTTTTCCCGTGGTTCATTTTCATGCCAGCCAGGTAGGCTATACTCCTGTTGTAAAGATAAGCAATGTGCTTAATATTAGGAAAGTTGAGAAATAAAGGCCTAGCCTATAGAAGCTGATGGGATCCTCCTCTATTTAATAGAGGCCATCACTCTGTTTGCGCAACATGAGCTCATGAGCTCTCATGACGTGTTTGATTCGATTTTCGATTACATTTGCATTGATGTCAGAGTGATTAGAGGTACAATAGAGTGCTGAGTACCAGGCAGTTAGCAAGTTTGGTAGGCTACTAATAACCATCAGCAGCATCAGAGCTTGGAGAAGCCTAATTGACTGTGGTCATGACTCGTGACCGTTGGTGTGGCGTTAATACAGTCACCGCAACAGCCCTAGGCACAATCCACTACTATCCACTACAAGAATCCTTAGACCCGAGTGGCGCAGTGGTCTAAGGCACTGCATCGCAGTGCTAGCTGTGCCACTAGAGATCCTGGTTCGAATCCAGGCTCTGTCGTAGCCGGCCGCGACCGGGAGACCCATGGGGCGGCGCACAATTGGCCCAGCGTCGTCCAGGGTAGGGGAGGGAATGGCCGGCAGGGGATGTAGAGCATGGCGTTTGCAATGCCAGGGTTGTGGGTTCGATAAAATAATGTATGCGCTAACTGTAAGTCGCTCTGGATAAGAGCGTCTGCTAAATGACTAAAATGTAAATGTAAGAATCCACAGACATTGCTATGGCTAATTTAATTCCAACTTGGTTATATTTTGCTCTGTGTCTCTGTAGGTTGTACTCTCGTAGAATGTAATCTGAAGGAGATCCCCATCTTCTCAGGCCAGTCTGTTCTCCTGCCCTGCTCCTGTACTGACCTCCAAGCTAAACCTCACAGCCTCACATGGAACTTCCAAAAACAAAACAGTTAGCGTTGGATACCATTAACCCAGAGTGATCTCTACAGGTACAGAGTGGAGATGTTCATTACTGGGAACTCTCCTGGGAACCTCTCTCTCCACCTCTCACACATCACTAAGGAGGATCATGGGGTGTACAGGTGTACAATCAAGGATAGAGAAGACAGGAACACATACTGTACATCTGACTCTATGTAAAAGGTAAGAGATGCATCTCAGGCTTAGACAGCTGTGTATAGAAAATATGACAGGAAGCAACAGTATAAGGCAAACATCTGTACAAACAATTCATGGTTTGGTCCTCAAATATATAAGCTATTTCAGATTACTACATTATATGGCATTAATAATACTGAAGGCTAGCAGTGATACTGTTAGTAATGGGTAGTCTTACATGTTCATGGTAGCAGTTGTAGAGAACTACCATCATCTAAAATTGATAAAGTAAGTATAACACATTTCTATGTATTTCAACAGGCTACACTTTGTTAGACACTACAGCCCTGGAGATGGGTAGATCCACACACCAGTCTGTGCTCCTGCCCTGTTCCGGTTCTGAACTTCAGGCTAAACCTCCCAGCGTCACATGGACTAAATTCAGAGATGGACAGAGACCTGAGACTATATCAACCCAGAGTGATCACTACAAAGGCAGAGTAAAGATGTTTACTGAGAACTCTCCTGGGAACCTCTCTCTCATCCTTTCACATCTAACGCGTGAGGATGAGGGGTGATACTGGTGCCAAATCAGTACTGTAGAAATCAAAGAAATCAAACTCTATTTTAAAGGTAAGAGATCCCACTCCCAAAAAATGTTGGGGCTCATTTTATCTTTAGCTACATAGTATTGGCAGGGACCTAATGCTCCACTTTTCTGTTAGAGTCAGAGCAAACCAAAACACCCACCACCACCAAACATCCAACAGTAACTCAAACCAAAACACCCACTGCCACCAATAACTCAACCCACAACTAGAAAATCCCTACCAACAACTTCATCTAAAAGTCAGTGTACATCATGACAACACTCCACAAGCAAAATAAGGAAATCATTCAAATGTCTTATATTGCTAAAGACTGTTGCTGGTTATAACCATATTTATATCAAAGGATCAGTACATTTCCTGGAAGAGTCAGTTACACGAGACTGACTAAATGTCCATGTCCTGTAGGGACAGACACTGGGGGGACTTCAGAGAAAGCTCCATCTACAATCCTCTACATTGTACTGGCTGTTCTACCAGTCATACTCATCATTGCTGGAGTGGCTCTTTACAGATAGAGGAGAAATAATGGTTACTTGTCCACAATTGCAACCACATAGAAAAGCAATGAGTTTAGTTGGGGGAAAGTGACAGGACTAATTGTGTTTATTAAACTCACTGTTATTTTATAGAAAAACACAGAGGAGAAAAGTAGTGGGAGCAAAACAGGGGGAAAGAAAATGATAAGGTAAATAAATAATTTAGAAGCTCTATCTTACAGGGGTGTCAAACTCATTCCATGGAGGGCCTAGTGTCTTCTGGATTTTGGTTTCTCCTTTCAATTCCTTACTAATCAGTCACCTTAATTCCTCAATCAAGTACAAGGGAGGAGCGAAAACCCGCAGACACTCGGCCCTCCGTAGAATGAGTTTGACACATGAGAGTGTGGGGAAATTAAGATATGACGAAAGAATACATCCCATTTATCATTGTGTTATTTATATGAGGATGGTCAATTAGACAAAGTTACTGTTTGTGTCTCATTGTATCTCTCCTCTATAGGATGATGTATGCTACGGTTCACACAGAAACATCAACCAAGAGGAGACAACAACACTCCACAGTGCACTAGTAAGAGAAGTGTAGTATGTGTGTTAGTAAAAATACACTGAGTGTACAAAACATTAAGAACACCTTCCTAATATTGAGTTGCACCCCCCCTTTTGCCCTTAGAACAACCTAAATTTGTCGGGGCATGGACCCTACAAGGTGTCGAAAGCATTCCACAGGAATGCTGGCCTATGTTGACTCCAATGCTTCCCATTGTTGTGTCAAGTTGGCTGGATATCCTTTGGGTGGTGGACCATTCTTGATACTCACACGAAACTGTTGCGCGTGAAAAACCCAGCAGCATTGCAGTTCTTGACACACTCAAACCGGTGCACCTGGCACCTACTACCTACCATACCTCGTTCAAAGGCACTTAAATCTTTTGCCTTGCCCATTCACCCTCTGAGTGGCACATGTACACAATCAATGTCTCAAGGCTTAAAAATCCTTCTTTAACCTGTCTCCTCCGATTCATCTACACTGACTGAAGTGGATTTAACAAGTGACATCAATAAGGGATCATAGCTTCACCTGGATTCACCTGGTCAGTCTATGTCATGGAAAGAGCACTCAGTGTATATATAGTGTAAATTAGTGTGAATCTACATCCCTGGGTGCTGCAGTGCCTGTATCTGAATGTATCTTGTGTTTCTTATTGTCCCTCTGTACAGGAGGATCCCTCAGTTATATACTCCATTGTCCACATGAAAGGAAAAGGGAAGGCAGCAGTGAGTATAGAGAACAGTGGAGAATTTGTGTTTATTTAACCTTTATTTAACTAGGCAAGTCAATTAAGAACTCATTCTTCTTTACAATGACGGCCAGAGTATGCCAGCATCAAGACGGGCAGATCCTCCTAGAGCCATTATACAGTAGGCCACACAACATGTGTGGTTATTGTTACCATATATTACTTAACTGTAAATATGTTTCACTCTTCACATACAAATCTTCATATTACAAGGCAAATTAAATACCATATGATAGAATTCAAATTTGATCCCAATTACATGATGTATTTTGTCTTTCACTTTTCTTCTGCCATAATATCATAAATTAAATGCATTCTGTAAATATGTATGATAGATTATTTTTCAAAACTAACTACTTTTATTAACAGTGTAAAGAATAGGAAAATCTATGGCAATAAAGTTTGAACAAAAAGTACGCTCTTCTCTTCTTTTTGATGAGTTGTGTTGTTTTATGTATCTACATTGGCAATGTTTGGAATCATAGTTCTGCTAAAATCATGCTTGTTCTCTAATGGTGATATGTGGAATTATATTGCAATGGCGATAGAAATTCTCTTCAACCAGTATGCCTTTGTTGATTTTGGGGAATTATGCAATACCTGCCTAATTTTTCTAATATACTGTATTTAGGGTCTATATTTGTTATCTAAAGAGGTTGAGCAGTTTTCCATTTATGAAATGACAGATTGGAGGATTGATGGTCATTTTGTCATGGATTACATTATCATGGTCAAATGAAAATAATCCTAGATTTATCTGAACTATGATTCCTTTCAAAGACTGACATCATTTTGAGAAGAGCGAGAGTCGGATGACTAGTTAAGGAGAGTCGGGTGACTAGTTAGAGAAAAAGAGATGCAGAGAGGTCTGTAACCGGATGTGGGCTGAGAGTCACGACATAGCATTCACACACTGTACTTCCCTGGCAAGGTCACACAAGTACACATATTGTCAGTCTACACTCACAGGGAAGCCAAACTCAGTCCCTCTCTCAACACATACACACAGAACATACCGTTTCTGTCTTTAGACAGTCTTCAACATCAGGAGACAGTTGTCATCATGTGGATCTCTGTGTTTCTGATCAGCGCAATCCTTCACATTACTGCAGGAAATGAAGGTGAGTCCTACTGTCTTAACCTGTATGTGGTTATGGAGGCCATGGAGACCTCACTGTTACTGAAAAAAAAGAGTGTGTGGAAAAATACTAATGTGTTGAGTATACAAAGTGTACACAATCACATAAAGTGTTGCTTGTTGCTCTTACTCTGGGGAGATTGTTTATCAACAGTCATCCTTCTGCAGTTATTATTCTGGTTCATAAACAATGTTTATGGCATATCTTATTGCTTCTGGTCAAATAAACCATTGATTCACTTTGGATAAAAGTGTCTGCTAAATGGCATGTATGGATTCTGTTGCAGATCTCTCAAATCCTGTTTCAGTTTCAGACACAATGTAACATCAGATTACTTAACAAGAAGGTACTGCCCATAATGGATTGTCTATACTGTACATGCAGAATTGTAATACTCGTATTATAAGTATAATGTTGCTCTGTTTTTCAACAGGCTGTACCCTTTCAGGCACTAACATTCGACTGCAGGAGATCACTGCATTTACAGGCCAGTCTGTTCTCCTGCCCTGCTCCTGTACTGTACGTCAGTTTGATACTCCTAGACTCACATGGACTAAATTGAGTCAGGAGACTGTTATATTAACCCAGAGTGAGCTCTACAGAGACAGAGTGGAGCAGTTTAATGAAAAATTTCCTGGGAACCTCTCTGTCCTCCTCTCACACCTCACTCAGGATGATCAGGGAGATTACAGATGTACAATCAAGGATAGAGAAAACAGGGACGAATACAGGGACATCAGACTCCATGTTAAAGGTAAGAGATTCAGACAGCTGTATATAGAAAGTATAACAGTATGGCAAACATCTGTACAAAACAATTCATGGTTTGGTCCATCAAATATATAAGCTATTTCAGATTACTATATGGTGTTGGTAATACCGTTAGTAATGGGTAGTCTTAAGTGTTCATGTTAGCAGTTGTAGAGAGCTACCATCATCTAAAATTGATCAAGTAGGTGTCCCTCAACAAATTGCTCTGTTTCAACAGGCTGCACTTTGTCAGACTCTAACCAACTGGAGATAGTTAGATCCCGGGGCCAGTCTGTGCTCCTGCCCTGCTCCTGTACTGAACTCCAGGCTAAACCTCTCAGACTGACATGGACTAAATTCCTCGATGGACAGACACACGCAATACCATTAAGAGACAGAGTGGAGATGTTTAATACTGAGAAATCTCCAGGGAACCTCTCTGTCCTTCTCTCATGCATCACTAAGGAGGATCAGGGGTGGTACAGGTGTGAAATAAACAACCAAAACTTTAGAGACATACGTATCACTGTTAAAGGTAAGAGATCTGATAATGATGCATTTTATCACAGAGGTTTCTCCGTAAATAACTTAACATCATAAGAACAGAATGGCCACGAATGCGTACAGAGCAGCAGTTTGTAGATTTCCTGACAGTTGTGTAGAATGTAGCAGCACGGTATGGTTATTATCACTAGTAGTAACTGATAAAAAGTGAGTATTGTCTGCACACTGAAAAACAAGCACGGTGTTCACAATTTAAGTTGACTTTGTCATGCTCAAGAGGTGCATAACAAAATAAGTTTAGAAGAGGGTAAAGACGGGTATTCAAAACACCTTGAACTCACATTCATAACACCTTTTAATTCATAACAACATAACACATATTCAACATCAACACTGTTGAAGGCCTACCGACCAATATAGTGCAATTGAGTGAGTGGAATATCTCTCTTTAAACACAACAAATAGCCTAGATATAGAACATGTAAACTAATCTGGGACTCATGTTAGTTGCATAGTATTGGCAGAGCCCATTCTAACATGCGCCTCTGCTCTAGCTAACACTAGGCTAATGGTCCTCTCTCCTGTTAGAGACAGATGGACCCCAAAAAACCACTACCACTAAACAACCAAAAGTAACTCAAACCAAAAGACCAGAGACTACAAAAGCACTACCAACAACTGCATCTAAAGGTCAGTTCATGTCCAATGAATATCATGAAATTACACTCCCCAGCAGAATATTTAAAGGAAATTATTCAAATGTCTCAAAATTACACACATATACTACTGGTCATACCTACAATTCCATCAAATTGTCAGTACATTTTATGTCTGACAGGTTCGAATAGATGACATTTTAACAAAAAACTACATCAGTGTACAAGCTGACCACAGTACACAATTTTGCACTAAGCAAAGCTCTCTGTTATACTGTAGACTGACTAAACATGTCCATATCCTGTAGGAACAGACACAGTGGGGACCTCAGGAGAAGCTCCATCTGCATCCTCTCTGCCAAACAATACCATCCAATACATCTTACTGGCTGTTCTACCAGTCATACTGATCATCGCTGGAGTGGCTTTGTACATATACAAGAGAAACAAAGGTATTTATCCACAATTGCAACTACTCAGAAAAGCAATGAGTTCAGTGGAATGTGGGAATGGTTCATTTTGTGTATTAAACACTGTTTTCTTTTTTTCCCAGGAAAGAAAAACACTGGGGAGAATAGTAGTGGGAGCAAAACAGAAGAAGAGAAAAATGATGAGGTTCATCAATAATTTAGAAGCTCTATCACATTGAGATTGTGGGGAAATCAAGAATACATCCCACTTATCATTGTGTTATTATACGGTTAAGGGTACAAAGTTACTGTATGTGGGCCTTCTTCTCTGTTTCCTAGGATGATCCCTCTACAATGTATTCTACGGTTACAGACAGAAACACTGGTTTAGGCGACAAGACAACAACACTCAGTGCACCAGTAAGAGAATGTTTGTGTTTGTGTGTTTGTTTTTAAGACTGTTACTGGATTAAATCATGTCAAATTCAGTGGGAAAATGAAGGTCTCAAGAAAGATTACATCTCAATCACTGTGCTATTTGTGTGCTGATGGATGTTGCAACGTCATTACACAGTATGTGTCTCATTGTATCTTGCCTCTCTAGGATGAAAAGTGTAGTGTGTGTGTGTGTGTGGTAGTATAAACATTATATATAGTGTAAAGTAGTGTGAATCTGTGCATCCCTAGATGTTAGCAGCATTGCCTGTGTCTCTGAATGTATCTTGTGTTTCTTATTGTCCCTTTATATAGGATGATCCCTCAGTGATATACTCCACCATCGTCCACATGACAGGAAAAGGGAAAGCAGCAGTGAGTCTGGAGAGCAGTGGAGAAATAGAGTACGCCAGGATCAAGACAGGCAGATCCTCCTAGAGCCACTATACAAGGCTCACAAGGCTCTCAGCCTTATACTACAGAGAGATCTCATATTGTGCCCAGTATCATGAGGCTTTATCTGGCACACTTAACTGTAAATATATTTCACTCTCCAATAACACGTTTAGTGGTTAGCTGTGCACAGGAAATCAGGGGGGAGGGTTAACTCAGCTAACATATGGAATTGTTTTAAGATGGTCATACTATGGATCGTTTAGCTATTTGATTTTCAATTTCAGGACCCCTTTAGGTATAATTCGTACTTCTTTTTTATGTATATAAAATATAGAATTTGGCTTTACTACTATAGTCCATAGAAACGCAATGAATAGAACATTCATAAATGGCAAAAAAGACAGTCCAAAAATAAATAATAAGGAATAAGGTTTTGAAGTGTCTGTCCTATATCTAGGAGATATAAGAAAGCTCAGGAAATATTTTGGACACATATTTAACCCCTTATTTTTGTTGGCACAAAACTACCTCCATACTTCCATTCATTTGTATGGGTTACCTTCAGACAAGCAAAACCATCGTAGAGCAAAACAGAGAACACCAACATGTTCGTGGGAGTCTCCCCTTTTCACAGTGGGGTCATAGTTTGTAGCCCAAACGGTTTGGACGCTACAGACAGAAGTTGGCACATCAGCGTTACCAACTTCAGATGAGTTCTGTGGGGCTTGTGGGGGTCATAGAGCAAAACGTAGAACACCATCGTGTTCGTGAGAATCTCATCTTTCCAAACCGTTCTGATGCTACAGACGTTTTTGTGAGAAGACTGATTTTCGGGATGTCTCATGGTCTGACAAACACCGCTGTAACTCGTCCACCTTCCACCGCAGATGCGGAAGCCCGACATAAGTGGATGTGATGGATTGAGACGCAGCCCCTGCAGACACTGTATCTCTAGCTTAAACTGGCAGATTTTGATGGGGATTTTTTTATTATGTTACTTAGATTGATGCACGGGTGTGTCAATAGACTCTTAAGGTTAACCAACAACAAAAATAATAAAGTACCAGAGATACTGGCAAGATAATTGGTGAAGCAACAACATAACATGTTTGTTTTTGTGTAGCAGAGACACGCCAAGTGCCTTATATGGCTTGAGGTTTACCTAGTTCACTTTTTATATTGCTGTTTTGTAATAGAGACAAAACTGGAGACAAAACGGTTTGACGTGTCAAAGTATAAAAACAGCTTTCACAATCACTAATCGCAAGAGGTTTCATTGGTGGCTTTTCAAACTGATATATCACCCATTTTAACATATGAATCTTATTTTTCTGCCATTTAGCTGGTACACATGGAAGAATTCATCATTCTTGAAGTTGACAACAACATAATTTTTTTTTGTATTTTTATGCCTAAGTTTGTTACAGGCAACTATCTTTGTAAAAACAATCTTTCGTCAAAACCAGTTAGTTAGCTACTTCCTCTTTGGTGTAACGGACAAATCACAAATTGTGGTCTTCCTGAATAAGAAAAGCACTCTAGCAATGTCATCAACTTAAGCATACCCTTTTAATGTGCACAACTAACAGGGAATGCCATGTTTAAAAGTGTATGTTTCCGAGGTCTGTTCTCTTGCCCTAGTTTGACAAAGTCAGATTCTCCAATGACTTACTTCAGCACACTCCCACAGACCACAAACAGATGGCCATCTACAGCACCTTTCGCAATATATTTTGGCAGTGGGATCAGATCTGTTTTGATATCTCCTCATTCTCAGAACTAACATGTCTGTGACGTTTCCTTTTAAAGATGATAGTATTAATATGCTGATTTAGTAGACGCTTTCATCCAACGTGACTAACACAAGCAATACAACTGGAAATGGCAAATTGAAACTCTAAATCCAACAGGGGATTATTGGTGAAGACCCACCAGAACAGACACAGGTCAAACACATTGAGGTGATTTGACTTATAAGATGAATAGGAGAGGGTACAACATTGAGAAGAGGTTAGGATTAAACAGCTGGAGAGAAGGGGGTTTGGTGGTAATAATACTCACCTCTGAGCTAGTGAGAAAGTGCTCCAGGCATTCGTTCTTGCTGAGTGTGATGTGTGCTCCCACCTGCTGGAGATAGGTCTCCAGTGCCATGCAGTAGGTACGCCAGTCAATGCCCATGGCCAAGAAACCTACATGGCAGAGCAGAGCAATTACAGTCAAGTATTACACTTCTAAGCAATAAATAACATTGTTGCAAAGTTTCTGTTTCAAGACATTTTTAAGATCTGTAGTGTCATATTACATAGCAATCAACAATTCAGAACTTTGGTTGGTGCATTCAACTGAGGCTTGGCTGGTAGAGGAGGAAACTAGAGGGAGAAGAAGTCACATTAGTTCTTTTGAGGCTTGCGTTATTTAACTTTATTAGTTTTTACTAATAAAGAGAAAACAATGTATCAGTTTGAAGCTTTATATAGGTTTGTTTGTCAGGGTCAGTGTCCGTAATGAGACAGGTTTAGTTAGGAAGAGATGGGATACTAACAATAACACCCAGTATCCCAGGCACCTCCTCCTGAGAGAACAGACACTGCTGCATAGCCCTCATGAGTCCTGGCCACATGGTACTCCCCACTGCCTGACAACTGGGACACACAGAGACAGACAGACAGAGAGAGAGAGAGAGAGAGAGAGAGAGAGAGAGAGAGAGAGAGAGAGAGAGAGAGAGAGAGAGAGAGAGAGAGAGAGAGAGAGAGAGAGAGAGAGGGAGCACAGACAACCGTCAAATAGGACTCAAGTGCAATGGTATTCATGCACACCATTGCAACCTTCTCCTGATCTTATATTATATGACAAAAAAAGGTCAATGGTGAGAGAGAGAGAGGGAGCACAGACAACAACCATGAGGTTAATGGTGACTTTAAAACAATTACAGAGTTTAATGGCTGTGATAGGAGTAAACTGAGGATGGATCAACAACATTTTAGTTACTCTACAATAATGACTTAAATGACAAATTGAAAATAAGGAAGACTGTACATCATTTAAAAAATCTAACAAATTATTCCTGTTTGCAACAAGGTACTAGAGTAATAATGCCAAAGAAATGGCCAAAGCAATTAACTTTTGGTCCTGAATACATTAATATTTTAGTCATTTAGCAGACGCTCTTATCCAGAGCGACTTACAATTAGTGAGTGCATACATTTTAGTAGTGAATTTTTTAAAATGTTTTTATTTTTTTACAATACAAAGTGTTATTTTTGGGACAAATCCAATACAACACATTACTGGGTACCACTCTTCATATTTTCAAGCATAGTGGTGGCTGCATCATGTTATGGGTATGCTTGTAATGGTTTTAAGGACTAGGGAGTTTTTCAGAATGGAGCTAATCACAGGCAAAATCCTAGACGAAAACCTGGTTCAGTCTGCTTTCCACCAGACACTGGGAGATGAATTCATCTTTCAGCAGGACAATAACCTAAAACACAAGGCCAAATCTACACTGGAGTTGCTTACCAAGAAGACAGTGAATGTTCCTGATTGGTCGCGTTACAGTTTTGACTTAAATCTATGGCAAGACCTGAAAATGGTTGTCTAGCAATGATCAACAACCAATTTGACAGAGCTTGAAGAATTTTGCAAAGAATAAATGGGCAAATGTTGCACAATCCAGGTGTGGAAAGCTCTTAAAAGACTTAACCAGAAAGACTCACAGTAATCGCTGCCAAAGGTGCTTCTGCAAAGTCCCCTGTAGCTCAGTTGGTAGAGCATGGTGCTTGCAACGCCAGGGTTGTGGGTTCGTTTCCCACGGGGGGCCAGTATGAAAAATGTATGCACTCACTAACTGTAAGTCGCTCTGGATAAGAGTGTCTGCTAAATGACTAAAATGTAAAAAATGTAATGCAAAGTATTGACTCAGGACTGTGAATACTTATGTAAATTAGATATTTCTGTATTTCATTTTCAATAAATGTGCAAACATTTCTAAAAACATGTTTTCACTTTGTCATTATGGGGTATTGTGTGTAGTTGGGTGAGAAAAAACATCTATCCATTTTGAATTCAGGCTGTAACAGAAAAATGTGGAAAAAGTCAAGGGGTATGAATACTTTCTGAAGGCACTGTATGTGTGTGTGTGTTCTGTGTGTGAGAGAAAGGGGTGGAGAGAAATTATGATGATCACAATAGAAAACTGATAGAAAAGATTGTAATCATGTCAATATTGTGTCATGCTAGCTGTGTGTGTGTGTGTGTGTGTGTGTGTGTGTGTGTGTGTGTGTGTGTGTGTGTGTGTGAGTGAGTGAGTGACTGAGAGAGAGAGAGAGAGAGAGAGAGAGAGAGAGAGAGAGAGAGAGAGAGAGAGAGAGAGAGAGAGAGAGAGAGAGAGAGAGAGAGAGAGAGAGAGAGAGAGAGAGAGAGAGAGAGAGAGAGAGAGAGAGAGAGAGAGAGAGAGAGAGAGAGAGAGAGAGACATCGTAAGCTAGCCTAATTCTTGAAACGTGTACCACCAATATGGATGTGAAGTTTTTCTTGATTCATCGGGGATCCTTGTATTTTTGTGTATTTTGTATTTGACAATACATTTAGCCTATCCGTGCTCCCTCTCAACACTCATTCTAACGTTACAACTCTCAACTGCTTTTTTGAAATTATTCCCCCCCCCCCTTTTTTTCACTCCAAAAACACTCATCTGCTCAGACCTGTATGCTCGCACCCCCATCCCTAGTGCCTGCATTTTTGTTTGCCACTTGGCCTTAAATTGTACCAATTTGTTTTTCTTGGTCACCCATGCTATTTCAATATTTCAATATTTCAATAATAAATCATTAGATTTTTCCATTGTGTCAATGATGGCGGATTGATTGACTTCCAAGTTTTTAGTATACATCTTTTCAAGATCAGTGATGAGAAGAGAATCGTCCAGCCCATTGGGTATCTCACTACACCACCATATGCCATGTCTTGAAATATGCAGACAGATGGATTAAAAGTAAGTTTACCATGTAATACTTCTGACTGCTAACTTTCTAGCTCCGCCCA